TAGGACGGTGCTTAATCTCCCTGCTTGCCCTTTTTGCGCCGGTCAAGACTGCGCCTTTTCGCCGGCGAAGTGGCGATTGCCTGTGGCTTCCTCTTGTTCGACACCAGGTTGAATCAACTGGAGGTACGCCCTTGAGATTGCTGCTTTAGTCTCGGTATTCAATTTTGTCTTGAATCGGAAGAATCCCTCGGTTTGTTCTTGGCGAACTGTTATGTGAATTCTTGTTTGGGGTCGATGGTTCTGCTGGGGTCAGGGTACTGCTCCAGTAAGAGCTCGATTGATTGGTTGTGTTCAGCTGATTCAGGCAGGTTCGATTGAATGCAGTTTCAGGCGGGCTGACTCGGTGAAGCCGAGCCGTGTCTGCTAGTCACGTGAATGGAGTGCAGGACAGCTCTTCGGTTGGTCCCGGGGTATGGGTTGCCGTCTTGCTAGGCCTTATGCAGTGGTGGGCGGTTGATTCTGTGCTCTGGAGCTGTCGTCGGTTTGTCTGCCGGATACCTAGTTACATCGGTCGAGGGAGGCTGCGTCCTTTCTTTGTTTTGTTTGTCTCCGGGGTAGGGTCGTGTTTATTTGCTTTCTAGTTTGTTCTGTAGGTTGTCCTTGTATTTGCTCAGTGTGTTTGTTCGTTTTTGTTTCGGAGATGATTACAGGCTAGGCATTGTGCAGTGGCTCTGTTTTTTATTTTCCTTTATTTTCGTTTGTGGAGCTCTTTAGGCCGCCATGTGCGTGTCCTATCAGTTTTCTATTCCGGTTTGTTTTTAGGCGTGTACTTGGTTTGGGCCGTTGGCCCCTGTCTCATTACCCTGTTGGGGCCTTAGATTACCCTGTTAGGGTCTTGTAATTTGTTCATTTTGCACTTTTGTGCTCTTCTATATTACATCTATCGTTCCGAAAAAAAAAAATTGTCATTGGTATTATGCAAAAGTTCAATAGAAGTTCCATTGGAAAGATAGTTGCAGTGATAGATCCAAAATAATTTCATATTGGGAGCATTATTTAATTAATAGAAAAAAATACACCATCAAAATAACATATCATTGCAATTTATAAATTATATTTTACATAATCTATCACCTTTCTCATTAGTAATACATTTTAATAAATCTATGCAATCACAATAAGATAAAGTATATTTAAGAAACCAAAAGTCAAGATTTTTCTAAAATCAACATAAGAAAATCGTTATATTTGTTGTAATTTTTGTTGGAATTTTTTTATTTTCTTGTAGTAAAACTAAGACTCCAAATCTATAAAAAAAAAAAATACATTATATATAATATTGTGTGCAACTATTATTATGAAAATTTTTGATACAATAGAAAATATAACACATTCAATGTATTTGTCGTTCAATTTATGATAAGAATTAATTTTTTTCAAAGCAAACAAGATACTTTGAAAGGTCCTTAATTATTTTATTAGTATTGTAATAACTAAATAAGGGGTAAGAAAGATGACAAAACTTATAACTCTCATTAAATCCAACAAAAAAAAATGCTGATAAAATTACTTAATATACAATAGCAATTGGAGCTAGCTAATGATAAATATAAAACATACTTAAGATACACATATATTTTAACTAGAACTTTTAAGTACATAATATATATATATATATATCTAAATATTCATATGTATATTTCTTTAAAAGTGGGTATGTTAATCTTAAAATTTTTTGGTTAAGATTTTTATTACTTTCTATCATTAAATTTTTTAAGTTTCAAATACTTCATATTTATTATTTGTTACCTTTTATATGTAATATATCACATCATTTATTTTCAGTGATGTTTGAGTTGACCCATATATTGCAATAAAATAAAAATAATATAATTATTTATAAAATAATATATATATATATATAGTACTAATTTAAAATAATAAATTAGTCTTAAAGTATATAATATAATAAATTCTATATTCAAGTTAAATCAATTATATTAAGTATAAAATAACATAAGATAAACTTGTGGTATGTTTTCCATACATAAATTTGAAACAATCCATATTTAAAAAAAAAGTAAAAAAATGGGTGTAAACTTCTAACTGTTCCCACGTTTTGGCTAGAGTGCCCAAATCCAATATATGTTTGACACGAGTTTGTCGTAATGCTGAAACAATGGCAAATGCACCTTAGTGTACAAAAGAAGTGAAGCAATGTGAAGTCATAGATAAAAGGAAAGGTTATGCCAGAGAAAGGAAATGAAATAACATTAGCTATGTGAAGTCAATTACTGCTGCAAAATGAACCCTATAATGGTGGTACCAGATATGTATTCAGTGATTATGAAAATGACTTAGTTAATTAATATTCTATCAAACATTGGAAAAAATTCTAAAACTTTTTAATCTAATAATTCGTATAAAAAGTACAATTTTATAAAATATATTAAATTACATTTAATCTTATGTGATTATATTAATTGTAGCCTAATAAATAAGATAATTTGATACCATCATTATATAAAACACATACAAAAAATAACATAATACGTATAAATGTGCTTTAGTTACTTAGCAAATAAAATATTATTTGTCTATAGAACAAGAAATAAATAATATAATAGTAATGCCATGAGAAA